CTCCAGAAATGCCTCTCTAAAAACATCCCAAGTAACCACAATCTCATCCTCTTCAAACCTTTGGCGAGTATTACCCCACCAGTCCTCAGCTTCCTCTTCAGGCATATGAGTGCCAAACTGCACCCTCTATGCATCCGAACAGTTCATGACTCAAAAGATCTTCTCAATCGCTTTCAGCCATACTTGTGCTTTGTCAGGTTCATGGGTTCCCTTGAAAATCGATGGATTGTTCCTTTGGAACCTTCCCAAAGCACGAAACTCGTCCTCGGCGTTGTTTCCAACATTCACATTGGCTTGAGGATTCTGCCCAATCGCTCCAGCCAACCTCGTCAACGCCTCAGCAATCGCTTCATCATTCCTACCTAAAACCATTGTTCTTGATTCCCACAATAAATCCTCGTTATAACAACCATATTGATAGTGCTACACACACATACCAAATGCATAAGGGAATGAACACATTAACAACTTGGTCAACTGACCGACCTGCTCTGATACCACTAATGTAACACCCCCTTTCTATACCCCCAAATAAACAAATAAACCATTTAACACGTATTAAAATTTCATCATAGTATAAATAAAACATGGTATGAAAGAGGTATGTCACATCATCACGAAATTAACATACAACACCTGCTCGATAAAAGACATGCAACAGTGGGGTAGTTTTAACAGAGGAACTTAGTCCTTACACCCACATTTCAATATTTAGAATTAAAAGCAGAAAATCTAAACATTGAATCAATTTGAACATGTTAATCATATAAATACATATCATTCATTTTGATTCACCATATCATTCATGTTTACATAAACATTTGTCATCAGATATATATACAAATGTATCTCAAAAGAATGCTATACAGTCCTAACTACCCGGTGCTACATATCAGAGCTTAACCGACCAAAAGAATGAAGCTATACTTCACAAAAGACTTCCATCAAAGCTAATCTGCAATGCCTCATAGAGCATTATAAAACAGCAGAAGGGTGAGAAATATTATCATAATAATCAATGCATATAATTATATATATACAAACATAGAATACACATATTCCGCATTTCTCACCACAATTCATTATTACCATCACATACATCACAATATATGTATATATATATATATATATATATATATATATATATATATATATATATATATATATATATATATATATATATATATATATATATATATATATATATATATATATATATATATATATATATATATATATATATATATATATATATATATATATATATATATATATATATATATATATATATATATATATATATAAACAAATATGGGATGATCACCAAGCATATTCATTATGCACACATCCATAATTCTCATCAATTCACATAACATCCACATATACATACATTCACACAACATTTATCTCTATGCCATGTAACTTAATGCAACTCAATGCAAACTCATGCCATGTGGTACCAACACTTGTTATCATTTTTCAATTTTTACATTAAACCGGGTCCGTCCCCTAGACCGATAACAACAAAAGCCCGTCCTCTAAGCTTTCAAACCCACCCTTCTAGGTTTGGGACAAGTTACTATTCTCCACGAAACTAGCAAGCATTGCCTCTTGACTAAATGATGTGTATGAAATCAATCAACAAATGCACTTAAGACCGTTCTCGCATCTTAATGCCATGCATTATCAAATAATTCATCACACAAGAATTATGACATGATTGCACACTCACACATCATATCAAAGCATTCATACTTTCAACATCATCATATTTATCAAGCAATGCACACACATTTACAATATGTTCTCATGCATTATTCACAATATTGCATACAATCAATATGCATTCATAACTCAATACCATCACCACATTATTCAAGCAATACACACATATTCACGATATGTTCTCATGCATTATATATGTCAAAAGGCCACATTTCACAATATTGCACAATTTACGATTCACGTCATACGGCTACCCTCAACACATATATAACAGCACACAATTACTCATTTCAGATCAAGATTGAACACAATCGAACCAGACAATCAACATCGAATGAAATCACAAAGAAATGAAAATATTGTCACGCTCGCTGGCTTGCTCGCCTAGCGAACACTCGCTACCTGTTCGCCTAGCGAACAGGCTCGCGAAGGCAAACAGAAGCTACTGTAAGGCTTCGCTACCTACTCGCTGCAGCGAGGTCCTAGCGAATCCTTCGCTACCTCACTCGCTACCAGCGAACAAGATCAAATACATTCTGTCCAAGTCTGGAACCACTCGCTAGCTTGCTCGCTTAGCGAGTTTCTAGTGAACACTCGCGACCTGCTCGCCTAGCGAAGGTTCTAGCGAACGTCTGCGATGTTCAAAACCCTCACTGTCCAAAACTCTCCAAAATCACCCGATTCAATTCCAACGAGTTCCAGTACTCTTAGTCCAACAATCCTCGACTAGTCTACACTACTTATTCTGGATCCTAACCGTTAAAACCTTGATTCTACCGATTAAACTCATCTATGCCCTAGAATAGAAAATGGAGAAAAACATCCAAACAATACATACATAATCATACACATTTACAATATAATGATATTTCACATCCTTACCTTGATTAAATCGGAAGCTAGTGTCATACCCCAAATTTGTCCTACCTTTTTTTTCAAAATTTCTCATTTGCCCGACTTTGTTTTTAATTTACCTCGCTTATACAGCGTAGCGTATTTTTCAGCAAAAGCAGACATTTTCTTTTTTAGCCCAATAAATTTTGACGCGTGGCATTTGTTTTTTATATATATCTATCTTTTTTTTATGTAATTTCATTTTTCTCGTGATAGGTTAATATAATGTTTTCATTTTTTAATTAGTTTTGATTTAGAAATTAGGATTTAAATTTAATTTTTTTAATTAAATAGATTTAATTTAGAGCTTAATTATAATTTAGAAATTTTAATTTTAAAAAATATAGATTAAAAAATAGAGTTAGAATTTAATTAGGATTTATTTTAAAAAATTTAGATTAGATTTTAATTAATTAGTTTAGATTAAATTGTAATTAATAGTTAGAATTAATTAAATAGGAAATAGGTTTTTAATTTAGTTTATTATCTCAGAAAAATAAATTAAAAGAAAATATTAAAAAAAAAAAGAGAAAATTTTTTTGAGAAGACACGGTGGATTAGGGTTGGATTTCTAGGGATTATATAAGGGCAACACTGTTCACACTACCCTAAAGATAACGGGCGCCCCTAATTCTGAAGGGCAACCCTAAAAGAAACCATCCCCAATTCATCCCCAAAAAACCCTAATTTATCCCTCTCCCAAATCGGCGCCGCAACCACCCACCCTCTCGTCTCCGCCACCGTTCAACCCTCCGTCTTCATCATTATCACGAAAACCTTTCTTTTTCCTCTCCCCACCGCCGCCGTCTTTCTTGCTCGGTCTTCACTCGCCATCACTTTCGCCTCCACTTCTTCCACACCCATATTCTTATTCACTCACCACTGAAACGAACCTCCGATCTGCAACCACACTAGGAAATCTCTGAATGCCATTATGAAATTGTTGCATCAGCTCTTCATTTATCGCTCGTAATCGTGTTGCCTTACCATGATGAATGGGTGTTGTGGCTACTGTTTCCAATGTTTTGTTCAAAATCTACAAGATGTTGAACGTTTCGTTCAAAATTGTTCGAAGTTCACCAGATGTAATATGTTTCGAATCGAATGCGAGATTGGAATCGATTACGTTAAGCATTGACAACATAGCTCAACGCAACAGCTTCAATGACAACACCACAGTTGCTATGATTCAACACGGACAAACTCAAGCTGCATCAAATTGCTTCCTTTAACAACTATAACGATTTGTGTTGCGTTGCTACTGCTATTAATCCGGTTTCGACTCAGTGTCGTGGCTTGACGTCAAAACTAGCGGCGACGGGACAAAGCAGCAGTATAACAGCACGATGTTGCACAAAATAGCTCAGCAAACGTTTCCAATAACAATAACAATAAGAAGTTGAACTCATGTCAACCATTCAAGTCTATTCTTTTGTCAATTTTTGAGATTGCGAAGGTGGTTTTCATTTCATTTTTATTTGCAATTTATGTTTTGTTTCATTGGTAGCTTCATGAAATAGAAGTATTGTTGAATGGTATACTTGTTGTTGCTGTCTTGCATAAACCTTGCTTAGAATTGTTACTGTTCTGTTATGCTTATCTTGGTAGGTTTCCTTACTGTTTAATGTTGTGTTAGTTGTGCTGCTGCAAAAAATGATCTAATTTGATCGTTCGCCGCAATTGTATCACATTTGGTTTGCATGGACGATGAAAGTTGTGATGTGGATAAATGTCGAATATCCTTCTTTCGGACTGGAAGTAACAAAGTAGTAGCATTACATTCATGACATTTGGTTTGAATATTTGGTTTGAATTAGTAAATATACTTGCAACAGTTTTAACTTTTAATTTTCGTCAATTCCGATTTCGTAGGTTTTAGATGTTGTTGTTGGCTAATGGGTGCTGTTATTAATTTGTGCTTGAGTGCCTATTCGTTTGCGTATCGATTTCAGTTATAACTTTGTGAATTCATGAGTTATTGATGGTTGTTGCAATTCGATTGTTATTGCTGATGTTTTCACTTTTCAGTTTTAATGTTGTTGGTATGAATTATCACTGTGAATGTTTTGAGTCTATCGTGACGAGTCGAGAAACATGATTTCACCCTCAATATTAGCAGCGCAAAGGGCAAAGTTGCTCAGTCACATCGAAGCTACATTCACCTCACAACAGTTTTGCAACAACAACTCAAGGCGGCAGTGACTCACGTGTTCGCGGTGTCGACCTTAATGTCCTTAACCGCAGTGACCAAGGAGGTCCCAGCTACGGTTGTCAACTCAGGTTTGATCCGAACATTGCGTTAATAGCTCAAAACAATCCTTTGTGTTTGAATAGGGTCCTGGCTGTTATTTTGTGAGTAAAATTCCTTGTTTACACAAATTATGTATTCGATTTGCAAATATCTGGTTGAAACTCTTTTGGAAGCAAGGGAAGCAGAATACAGAGCATGGGCGCATGTTCAAAGTTTGAAATCATCTCTTGATGAGCACAACTTAGAACTTCGAGTTAAAACAGCAAGTGAATCAGAAGCCAGATCACAGCAAAACCTTGTTGCGGCTGAAGCTGGGATTGCAGACACGAGACATAGATTAGATGATTCTAAAAGGGGGATGTGTGAAATGTCTGATGTCTTAAGAACTAAAAATGAAGAAAATGAAGCCTACTTATCTGAAATAGAGACTATTAGACAAGCATATGATGACATGCAAACCCAAAACCAACATCTGTTGCATCAGATTACTGAGAGAGATGATTACAATATTAAGCTTGTTTTAGAAGGTGTAAGGGCCAGACAAAAACAGGATTCTTTGATTTTGGAGAAGCGATTAATGGATCAAGAGAACCAGCAATCAAATGTATCTTTGAATTTATACAATACCAAAGCTGCAAGAATTGAAGACCCGTCGAGGTTTTGCTCAGATCAGATTCAAAAACTTGAGGACAACAAACTTCAAAGTTCTGCCTGTTTGGAAAATACACAAAGAAGGCTGTCAGATATTAGACCATCATCGCAACAGGTTAGGGATTCATTGGTGGAATTGCAAGCTAGAATTACCAGTAGTCGGGTGACTTGTATGGAGTTACAAACCGAACTTGAGAAAGAAAGGTTTGCCCAAAAAACAGTAGAGGAAGACCTGGAGGTTGCTAGGAGAAACTTGTCACAACTTAAAGCACAAAATGAGGATTCCTCGGTAACTGATAAGCTTCAACAGGAACTTGGAGAGTACATGGAAATTGTCAAGTGCAGTATCTGTCGAGACAGGACAAAAGAGGTCTTCCGCATGTTCAATAGTGTTAACCGTAACAACAACTTCAACAAGCATAACTCACCAACAATAGTTTTTGAGCAAACAACTCGGTGATTACGCAACAGCTCTCGCTTCCGTCATCTGCATCAAGAACAACATAAAGCTTCAACAACAACAATAACAACGCCGAAAGAAATAATAATTTGGTAGAAGCAACATCAAGCGCAACTCAGAAACCTCATTGTTTTTGGTTGGTGTATTTTTTTCATCTTCTGCCTATGTTTGATTGGTGCTGCTGATACTTTTCTCATTATCGATAATATTTCCAATGCTGTTTTATTGCTTTGTTTTGTGTGGTTTTAATTAAGATTGTCATGTTGTGATAGTTTGTAAATTTTGCTGAAGAAATATCATTGTGTTTCTGTTATTTTGATTGTTAGATGGTCATTTGCTATGCTATTGATATTATAGTTGAATTTCCATTCGGTTGTGTCTTGCTGGTATGCGTTGTTCGGTTTTGAATGCAAATTCATGTGGTGCCGGCTGGTATCAATATGCTTGTGTTTCGTTGATAAGTTTTTGGCTTGCTATTAATTTGTCTGTGTTCATGTGTAGGCGTTATAGGCATGACTAGTTGCAACTTCATGTTTTCTCTGCAGTTTATCTTCCTTTCTCACTTAATTTTTGATTGAAACACTCCGTGGCAATTGTTACAGTGACGTCAAGCTTCTTTTTTTTTCTGCTATGATATCATTATGCCTACTACTATATTGTTTTATATTACAACATGTATACTACTGTAATATTCAATAATTAGTATTATATCATGAGCTTACAATATTAAGTGTGTATATGTGTTACGTGTAAACTTTGTGACCAAAGTCCAACCTATTTTATCATTTCCTCTTTTTATATTTTATAACTATTACATCCTATTATTATAAAAAAGGTGACTCAAGTTGAAATATTGGACTTGTAAATAACTATTACACCCCTTTATGCATTGTAAATAACTTGTAAATATTATGACTAATATGTTCGGGTTGTCATTCGAATTTCGTTAAATCAATGACTATTATTATTATTATTATTATTATTATTATTATTATAATTTATCCGTGGATTCGACAATTTCTTGTCGTTACCAAATTTTCTTACACATTAATTGAATATCTCGTCGCATTATGAAAATAGTGAGTTCTTGGAGTCTAGCACTCCTTGAATTTTTGGACAACCGCTCTTGAGGTGCACGCCTTGAGTTGTGGTTGTTCCATCTTTCGGTTTTTCAAATCTCTTTTTTTTAATTAATTGAAATTTCTTAAAGATATTTTTAATTACTCTTAGATATTTTTATAAGATAATTCAAATTATTCTTTTAAGAAATATATTTCAAAATTTTTACTAAATAAATATTTTTAATATTAAACTTTTAAAAAAATATACTTTATTAATTAAGTCAAAATCTTTTTTTAAGATATTAAACTTTTCTCAAAAACAATTAATTATAACTAGTTTTTATCAAAACCTTTTTATGGATTTATTTTATATATGAAAATTAAAAACATTTTTATTAATTAAATTAAACTATCTTCCTAAAATAAATTTCAAAAACAATTAAATTCTTGGATCTCGCCTTCCTTGAATTTTTTTAAGCGACCGCTCTCGAAGTGCACACCTCGAGTTGTGACCCTTCCGATCTTATTCTCAAGCATACCTAGCGCGCCTAGTCCGAGTACGCTAAACTATTTAATTATTTTCTAATTAAATCACGAAAGAATCGAACTCTTGGAGTCGTGCATTCCTTGAATTCGAGAATGATTACTATTGAGGCGTGCGCCTTGTATAGTGCGTCATTCAAACTTTCGTTCCTAAAATACCTCCTTTAACTATTTGGACAAGTATTCACTGTCCAACAAACATATTTTATAATTAATGGAACGAAAAAGGTATCGTTGGGATCTAGCATTCCAACGATATCCCGACTAGTTGGTTATGAGACCGACGCCTCGTTTATCGAATAGTCGTCGTTCCTCCTAAATTTTCAACCCATCTAACCTCGTTCCCCACCTTCGTACGATCGAGTATAAACCCTAGTGCGCTTTTAAACCGTACGTCAAATTCAAACCATTTTCTTAATTAAATTGCGAAGGAACTGAGTTCTTGGAGTCTCGCATTCCTTGAATTCTTGAGTAACCACTCTTAGAATGAAAAAGGTGTTATTGGGATCTAGCATTCCAATAATATCCCGATTAATTGATTGCGAGGCCGACGTCTCGTTTATCGAGTAGTCGTCATTCTCCCTTCAAATTACTTAACCAAACTCCTCTTTCTCGCCCCGTGCGATCAAAACCTTAAACCTATTCAAATATATCACCTAACCAAAACATCCAATGCGATAAACACAAATTCCTCGCCCTCGTGCGATTTCCAACCAAAATACCTTTTACCCAAGAACATTGTTTAGACCTTTCTTCCACGCATAACAAACTCGAGCTTCAGCCTCCCCTAGCGAGCAGACAAGCCAATGTTTAGCAGTTAGAATGCGACCTAGACACTCGTTCGTCAAACACAAACCAATATACCGTAGTTAGCCGAACTACGGCTGCTCTGATTTCTCACATCTGTTGAGAATACGTAGGCACAAGATTGCGATGATCTTGGCGAGCATAATCCCCTCTTTTATCCGTAGTCCCACGAACTACGGACGCTCTGATTCTTTATTCATTCTTGAATATAAGATATGTAGGCACAAGATTGTGATGATCTTGGCGAGCACACTTCTATCTTCCTCCATTATTTCATCCACACGTTCCCAACCTTTCCCGTAGTCGAACTACGATGCTCTGATTCCTCATTCTCGTCCGAATGAGCATACGTAGGCACAAGGGCCCCAATCCTTGGAGAGCACCCTATCCTCTAACCACCCATCTCTCCTTTGCGTCTTTAACCTTTTAACCTACCAATTCTACCTTTAAAAACGAGAAGAAAAACAAGTAAACCTAAACAACACTCCCCACAATTACCTTAAGAGGTTCCCGTCGAGTACGACGGACGTGAGGGGTGCTAATACCTTCCCCTCACGTAACCGACTCCCGAACCCGGAACATGGTTGCGACAGCCCTGTTCCTATCCCTTTCGCTTTAAGAGGTTTTCTCGATATTTTCCTCTCCCGTCTATTCGGGAAAAATAAAGTTCGGTGGCGACTCTGTCGAACCGCATTTCCGCGCCTTTCGCGCGAGAGTCGTATGTTCGAATGATTTTTCGAGGTGCGACAGCTAGGAGTTGTTCTTGATGATTCCAAGCTTTTTCCCTTTCTTCCTTCTCTTTTCTCCTCTTCTCCTTTCTTCCTCTTCTCTTTCTCTTATGTTTCTCTCTTTTCCTCTTCTTTCCATTTTTCCTTATATTCTTTCCATTTTATTTTCTTCCCTCATATTTCTCCTCTCAATTATCTACCAATAATTCCAATAATTAAAACAATCCAAATAAATCAATTATTTAATATGAATAATTAATTATTGAAAATTGGGTTGTTACAAGGATACTCGGACATAATTGTGTACCCTACCCTCCAACAGTTACAATCAAGGGAAGAATGAACAAATTTTGGAATCAACAACCAATAATCAGGATTCAAATGCTTTTTTTTATCAATACTCTTGCTGAATTTCAATCCCAAACGTTGACAAGCCATTAGAACTAAACAGTTGCATGCTTTTTGTTATTCTGAAGAATTGATCGAGCCATAGTCAAATTTTAATTAAACTTTTATTACTGTAAGATAACCTATGAAAAAATTACTCTTCTAGTAAAATAATTAGAAGCATAAATTTAGTAAATCTTCGAAATAAATTACCTCACCTCAAACCAATAGAAGCACTTTTTACACTAAGAAGCAAGCCAATTTCATCACTTAAGTTGGAGTTCCCATCTGCCCGAACTCCCTACACAGTAACCAAGGCAACAAAACATGATTACAGGTTTCAACCATAAAATATAGTGGGTCGGGAGGGACCACATTACCAATGCATGATGCTATTATAATCAATCAAAATGGAAATTATTAGTTCTTCATGAAGTACTAAAAACACCAGCATTACTATTACAGCAAGTTAAGAACTATAAAAACTAAGATGATTAAATCCTGAAACATTACCAGGCACTCTCCATAAAACCCTCTACCCAGCCGAACCCTGAAAACTTTTTCCAGCAATTTACTTGCAGCATTCCGGCGAGCGGAAATAGATGAATTTCCTTTAGCAATTAACTCTTCAACACTCAATTCCATCAGCTGCAATACATATTTATTCAAGCATAGAAAATATTTAGCGAATACATAATAACAAGAGATAAATTGACAATAATTTACAACAAGAGTAAAAACTACGGATGTTTTTGGTTTTTGTAATGTTAGCAAGGCACATAAAAGCAAGTAAGCAACAAAATAGATGGAAGCTATAGCCGGAAATGTTGCAGTAGTACTTTATGACAGTCTAACAGAAAGACTCTGATAGTGACCAGACCGAGCCCTACAATCTTCATCATAAATTCCACGTACATCTTCTGGAAAATACTTCTCCAGAAATGCCTCTCTAAAAACATCCCAAGAAACCACAATCTCATCCTCTTCAAACCTTTGGCGAGTATTACCCCACCAGTCCTCAGCTTCCTCTTCAGGCATATGAGTTCCAAACTGCACCCTCTATGCATCCGAACAGTTCATGACTCAAAAGATCTTCTCAATCGCTTTCAGCCATACTTGTGCTTTGTCAGGTTCATGAGTTCCCTTGAAAATCGATGGATTGTTCCTTTGGAACCTTCCCAAAGCACGAAACTCGTCCTCGGCGTTGTTTCCAACATTCACATTGGCTTGAGGATTCTGCCCAATCGCTCCAGCCAACCTCGTCAACGCCTCAGCAATCGCTTCATCATTTCTACCTACAACCATTGTTCTTGATTCCCACAATAAATCCTCGTTAGAACAACCATATTGATAGTGCTACACACACATACCAAATGCATAAGGGAATGAACACATTAACAACTTGGTCAACTGACCGACCTGCTCTGATACCACTAATGTAACACCCCCTTTCTATACCCCCAAATAAACAAAT